GGCGCAGGCGCCGTGGCAGGCACGTGCACCTGTACCTGGTGAGCTGGCCTGCGGGAAGGAATTACCGTAAACTGCGCTGGCGTATCGCTTGCTCAAATGGCGCCCGTGATAATTACACCTTTTGGGCAGAGTTATCCATTTTGGGCCTTCGGCGCTATACGATATTTGGTTCTAACAAAGCTTCTTTTTTTCACGGCTGTATTGTCGTCTGCTCTCCCGATATTTTCTTTGAAACAACACCTTTTGGTTTGCATATATGCAAATAAGCTTGTAAATGTTTGGATCAAACCATTTATAATGGGGTGGAGCTTGTTCATGTTGGTTCATAAGCGTAAATAAGCTATCATATATTAGTTATTTCAATCTAGTGGGAACTTTAACGAACTTTCACTTAAGCTTCAGCACCGGTAAGAGATTTCCAAATTGCAGATTTCACATCAATTTGACTGGGGGGGGGGCATAGGTCTGTCAGCGACCCCCGCCATTTCGTATGATCGAAAATCCAACCAACAAGAAATGGCAAAATGATTTTCTTTCTTGGGCGCATTGAAACAACGTTAAAAGGACTTAAAAGTCTACGACCTAGGCCTGTACGGGTGTGTTGTCTCAAGTATAGTGCATGCTTGAACGAAAAGTATATGAGCGACATTTGCTGGAGTTTCCAATGAACAAAACGTTATAGGAATCAGCGAGGTAAGTTATCAGTCTCTTCTCACGTTTTTATTTGAGTTTAATGACTTAAAGTTTGTCGTAGAATGCCGACGCCCACAAGTGCATATCTTCAAACACTGGGCTTCATTTTGTCTTGGGAAAATTTTGAGCAAAGAACGCCGACCTTCTTGCCATTCCCTACTTTCCCTATTTACCATCATCCTCTTTTCCAACTACATGTATATAAATGTTCTTCAGTTTATCGTTGTCGTAGCAAGCTGCTTACGATGTTTCGCTGTACCAACGTTTCTTGTCTGCGCGCATGGTCCGAAGCCGCGTTCATCGACTGAGAACCGGTTTCATTCCGAATTATTTAAAATGGATATCCATCATCTCTCTTCTCTGCTGCACTTACTGAGTAATGTTTCTTCCAATACACCTACCCAGTACTATTTATACATAGTATACAGCTGAACCTCCTGTCACACGTCATGAACGTCAACTCCTTTAGCGGGATCTGAACCGACCAGCCTACATACTCACCGCCCACTCGTGTTCCCACTTTTGATGGCTGTAGTTCGCCTCTTTTGACAGAATCCGTCTCAGTATGGCCTGATTCTCGTGGGTCACGCGGAGTATTTCTCTTTGACGTTTAGTCCTATTTAGGCTGTAACAACAGACTGACCATTAGAACCAGATCACCACCACGTATCACCTTACCCCGCTTTCATTTCCTGCACTTAAGAACAACGTGGTGACGAAGACCATTGCATTTCTTTGTCAGTTGGCATTTCCAAATAAGGTTTTTGCTTGTTAACAAGACAAACGCTTTGTTTAAAAAAATCACAAATCAGATATTGCAACCACGCGGGAGTTCCGTAGTGTACTTTTTGGGACAAGCCAAAAACATGCCCCTTTACTTAATTTTAAACCGCTGCAGTGAAATAACAGGATTCTAAGGAAGTTCTGGTTTTTAATACTCTAACAAAGTTAATTCACATGCCCACCTCTTTTGTTCATACTCATTCTCGCAGTCCACCCTTCCCCTCGTCCGCATAATGGAACACATCTTCTCAAGAAGGATACGATTATCCCTCTCGATGGTTGCAAGACGTTCCTCCTCGACCTGAAGTTTCTTCAGCTTGAGATGGAGATGCATGTACGTCTGAGGAGGTTTGTTGTCGATCACCGCCTTGGCTGGGACAGACATGACAGAAAGTAAATTGACGGTAGAAATTATCCACGTGTCACTTGGTTGGATTGGATGATTATAGAAATCTTTAAATGTTCGTCCGGCTTTGTATTCGTATAGCCCTAATTAAAAGTTTATTAGGACCTAGACCTACCATTTCGAACTTTCTGCCTGTGCCGATCGAATCGCCTGTCATCCCATCGTTTCTTCAACAGTTTATTATTGGCTGGGGTAATTGGCTGATACGCACGGTGCATTTTTCCCCGCAGGTAACTTCCCTGAAAATGTAATACTTCCAGAAAAAAATTAGGCTTACAAATTCACTTCCTTAACAAAACATACTTCAACAGATACACAAGCCGAACGAGAAACTGCTGCATTAGCATAATTTCGAATAAAAAGTTCGAGGAGGTTTGGAATTTTTTTTATCTTCATGCATCAACGCGAGTTAAAAAAAATACGCCAGCGTAAGGAAAAAGCGCGGGCGTTGCAACATCACGCGCAACGCGCATGATGGAAGTGTGACGAGCGAGTTCTAATGCACTAAAGGCGCATGCAAATGTCGATATGCGATGGGACGTGTTTACGCTGAATTTTAAAAATTGCAGCAGTGAATTGTCTCTGTGGGCCTACAGAGAAATTAAATCGTCTCAACTGTTACTGTCCGTCATACGAGGTAAATTGTTAGTTCTTTTGATTTTTACAGCTTAAGTCCCAACATTCGTATATTGAAAACTACAATGTATCGATATAAGCAGTGTTCTGAACTTTGTTATTGCCGAGCTTTCGGTAACTGGATACTTTTGTCAGTGCAAGCAGATTCAGTTCTGAATAAACGCGGAAAAATCCACGTTCATTCCACAGTGCTACGCAGCCCTTTCATGTTTTCATGAAAACTACAGTCGGCCTAGCTTATCGTATCTATCTTTTCTCATTTTAGGCGTTTTGTACGATACCGTTTTGGAAACCAAGTTTTGACTAGGTCTAGTGGACTCCCCCCAAAACGATAATGCCTAACGTTACAGTCGTAATTTTAGACTAATCTGATTAGACGCCATAACTGCGGTGGCACCACACTCAAACGCACATTCTTCAGCTTGACGCGCGCGCGCACTTGGCAAATCACGACACCCTGTTGGTCGAAGAGGCATGTAACGTGCGCGTTAAAAACGTAATGGTTTCTAATTCTGATGGTCCATTTACACTATAATGGAGACCTGCGTCAAACCCTAGCCGCGTTTTCAACAGGCCTGTGTACCTCCTACCAACAGTATAGGTCCCTGTATAGGTCTAGGCCTACCGAAGTCTAAAAACTCGTTAACCTCACACGAAAAATGCATCATTATAAAGTCGGTCTCCAGCTAAAGAGCCGTGCTATTTCTCCCCAGGTCGAACATGGATCCTTCGAATGTTAGCCCATCTGAGAGCGATGAGGGATCAGCCCCTCCCTCTGCATTTCAACGATTCGGCCGCCGCGCTACGCTGACGGCAGCCTTTGCAGGGAAGTCGTTCAAAAAGGTAATTTGAAAATCCTCTGTTCAGAGGTGATAGAAACACGTAGGAACTGACTCGTGTTTGTTTGAACCTAACCGTGCAGATAGAATGAAGATGTAAAAACTTGAACATTATCTTTTTTCTTCATGTCTGTAGATGGGCATGAAGGTGAAGATGGCCAATCGGTTCATCAGTAAGAAGAGAGAAACTAAGCCTGAGTAAGCATCCCCGGAGTTTCCATCCTTGAGTGTTTTAGGGAAAGGGGGTTTACTATGTGACTTCTCTCTCTCAGCTCATCTAATTGCAGGTGGAGGTTTCGCGGGTGCTGAAGAGGTCAAGAGAACTGTAGTCCTACTTTATCCTTGTAATTATTGCTGATAGAAGATTTGCATCAAAACAAAGTCAGCAGTCTCTAAAACAATATTCCCGTTTATGGCAAATTCGCATGCACAGAATAATGTTCTTGTCTTGAAATACAGGGAGCCAGATATTCGGCGGCTTTTTACATTTGATCCGTCGGCGGTGAGTACTTAAAGGAGATATTACATTGGCTTAATTATATTAAATTCATGCCTCTAAATAATCTGAGACTTATTCAGTTTGGAGTAGAGTATGGGTTTTGTGGTATGTCGATACCCTGGAAGATGTCACAGTGGCCAACAAGGAACCGAAATTTGCTTCATATTTCGATAACAATTAGGACACGTCTAAACGTTCAGAAGAAGTATTAAAGCTATAATTACACTACCGTCAATTTTGTTCGGTATAAACTTAAATCCGAAAATTCAGGTATTTATTGCTAACAGAACGTCTAAAGTGAAAATGAAATCAAATTACACTTTGCATGTTTTTCCTCAGCTTAAGCGTGGTGCTACGGTTTCTGACCTATTCGAAAAAGAAGAGAAGGAGGAAGACTTCAATGAAATTGTAGATCAAGACGATGAGAGAGTAGAAGAAGTAGTATCACAGGTGGGCTTAC